CTTGTACTCTGGTGGAGGGTGTTGGAACTGCAGGTGTGGTGGGTGTAGTCACCAGCTGTTGACACTCTTGATGAGTAGTCCCCTGAGGGGCAGGCCATATTGGGCCTTGTTAGCATCAGGGAAAATTGCTCTGTTATTTTTGGCACAGATGCCAGAGGTCAGTATTTGTTCCTGAATAGCAAGTACAGGTTCTAACCCTTGGCCCCCACACAGTAGCCAAACAGAATAATGATGACAAACACACACATGGAAATAACACTCGAGTGTATTTGTATTTAGGTCACGTTTGGCTTCTGCAATTCCAAGAGGTGCTTAAAGTGGTTACCATCAGCATCCAGACACTTCTGATTATGACAAACATCTCTTAAAGTATATATACATTTTCTTGGCTCTCCCAATATATTGTCTCCATTGCTCTTCGCAATTGGCCTGTGAATCAGAAGATGCAAATTCCATATATTCCCTTTTTACAGATGAGAAAACTAAAGCTTCCAATGTTAATTAATGAGTGGCTAAGAAGGGATAAAGCCAGAACAAAATCCTTTCTAGACCCAACCCTTCAGTCTCTCTCTCTCTCTCTCTCTCTCTCTCTCTCTCTCACACACACACACACACACACACACACACACACACACACACAATAATAATAATAATAGCAACCAAGCAGAATAGACACAGTAAAAAAAAAAAAAGAACAATATTTTTACAGCCAAAGTTAGCTCTTTTCTCCAGACTAGTAAAATTCCTATATTTCTGATTTCCTTTTCATTTTTAAAAGATGAGATGGTTCCCTCCAACATAAAAATCTTTGGCTTCCCAAATAAAGACATTTTTGATGAAAATTCTTGAAACAAACATCTCTATCTTTTTCAACTTAAAATACTACCAATAGTCACACTCTCTTAAAGAAGCATGTTCAGGCATCTTCTTCACGTGGCTGACTACCTCTGGGTTAGGGGGAAGAGGAGGACTTCAGCAAATTTCAAGTCACTTCTGAAATGAACAAACCAGGAAACAGTGGTCAGAAAGTAAAATGATGACTTTTCCAGGATGATAGGGATTTTCAGTGATGGGAGTTTTCTGGTCTACCACACCCTGCCTCACAGCTATGATGGTTTGACCAGTAGGAATTTCCTGATTAGGCTATTAGGAAGTGGGACTTTTGAATTTTCCAAAGTTTCCAGAGTCCCTTGACCCCATAACAAACTATTTGGTGTGCTACATGAAAGTATTTGTGCATAAGTATATTTAGAGTTAAAACTCAGGAAGGATGATCCGAAAATATAGGGGATCCTGCTGGGAATAGGTGGCATCCAGTGGAGTTCTTGGATATGGATTTGGGAAGGTCAAGGGTAAGTCGGAATTTGGGGTGTCTAGGTAGAGGGAATAGCGCTTGTCATAGCAAGAAGTTACAAAATCCCATGAATTGCAGAGAGCTGTAACTGAGGTGTGAGCAGAGAAGACAAAACCAGGGAGCCCTGGCTAAAGATGGGGACAGCATCCTTATTTGTTAGAGAAGAATTCAAGGATTTCAAGCAGGAAGTGCTTGCGCTAGGTATGTGGTTTAGATAGGTCCCTCAGGACTATTTCAAGATAAAACTTCAGTGTTGCAGGTGAGACCTGGAGCAGGTGGAGGCGATGTTAATAGTCTCCTAAACAGGCAGCAGCTAGGTAAGGTCAGACTTAAGACATGCAAAATACCAGGGGTGAGAAAGCAGGAGGAGGTGAATAGCAAGAGTCAATGGAGAGGTCAGGGCTGGATACACAAATCTGGGATTCCCAGTCATTTGTGGAAATTAGGGCATTGTTGTGGATGTGACTACTTGAAGAAAGAATGTAGGAATGGCAAATCTAGGAAACTCCAACACAGCCCTGGGATTGTTGTGTCAGGAATCTTGTCTAAATAGGATCATGTATGATGGACTTGAGATTTTGGGGAAAGTAGAGGCAATTGATAAGGGGAAGGGATCAGATAGGTGTCAATTTCTTTCTTGGCATGTCAGTCTTCCCTAAGCTTCAGTTTCATCAACAGCATCACTATGGGTTTGGACTTGACAGTCACTGAAAACATCTCTTCCAGTTTTAATATGCTGTAATTCTAAACCTCTTCCTAGTAATATAAATCCAACAACTAGGAAATGTACTGTGAAGGGAACGCTTGGCTTGAAAATAAGGAGAATGTGCTTGAGACCAAGAATGAAATGTAAATGCCGCATCGGGTAACACACCGTGGAACTGCAAACATCAACTTTCTGATAATGAGGGAGGGACATACGGAGTTTAAAGACATTCAATACATTCAATAGAATGACTTAACTACTCACACAAAAACATATGTCATGATTTCCACCATAAGTTATGGTATAGATGAGTCAGTCTGCGAGAGCTAAATTTAGGATTTTTAAGGACCTCTCCTCCCTCGATGTCAGAAGATTCCATTTAACTAAAAGAAAGAGGAAAAATGCTGACCCAGGCAGTATTCGGCACCTCTAGGACTAAGATATTGAACACATCTGAATAAATATAGCTACAAGGACCACTGACCAGTAAGACTGGTCTCCACAACGTGACAGGGTCTTGGTTCACATGAAATAAAAAATAATGACAGATAAGAAAACAAACTTGACAAGGCTTTTTAAGGACATAATACCTGGAATCTGGGTGCCTATGGTTGAGGAGGGGGAGTCTCACTGCTAGTGTCTTTAGAGAAGGGCCAAACTAAAGAGGTCAGTGATCCAGAGTAAGAACCAATTGGGCATGGAGCCAGAAAACAGGGAAGTAAAATCACAGACTAGGACACAAGGAACGATAGCGCAGCTAGAGGGACCAACACTGGACTAAGAGTTGAAGCTGAGAGTCAATGACAGAGCAAACTAAGACAGAACAAGGCTCCTACAGATCAAGGATTAATTTTTCTGAGTTCCCACCATGCAGCGGCTTTTATGCCTGAATTGTCACAACCCACTGGGATCAACTGTAAGCAACCACCATGCACAATTTTGTGAACCAGTGTTGTATGACAAGTTCCTCTCTGCTTATCTTATTTCTCTCTGCTCCATGATGCTCTTAGCCTCTCTACTGACCCACACTGTTTTTTTTCTTTGCATCTCAATATAAAGCATGTGCTAGACTAAATATTATGGGTGAGATGCCACAGCAAGCAAGTTGGGAGATTATAACTCCTTTGGTTCTCAAGGGCAGTTAGTAGTTTAGGGAAGAGGTGGCCTCCTCATTTCATGCTTATGAATTCTTGTGAAAACCAGCAATATTTGAGACGTACACAGTTGCTTGTTGCCACTGAATCCAAGCATACCCTTCTAGTTTGGGAGTAGTGCCACAAGAGGATGAATGATGATTTTGCTGACACCGAAGCCATGACACACCAACCCAGGTGTTGGCAGCATTGACATGCTCAGCTTTGAACTAGGGCTACGGGGAAAAATGAATGCTACCCTGAACCTTTAAGAACTAAAATGTTGAGGGCACAGAAGCTAGAACATGGCAACATGAAACTACGAGTAGACGATGTAATGATAATGCATGAAAGGACGTTATGGTTGTTCATGAGGTCTGTTCAAAAGGTCAGAGAAAGATGCCAATATAAAATAACAACATGCTGTTTTTTTCCTATCAGTTTGGCAAAGATTGGGAGGAGAAAATGCTCATGCTATTGGCAATTTGGCAAGAATGTAAGGAAACAAACCCTTTTATACACATCAGATATGACCTTTGTGAGGGACAGTTGAGCAATATGTTTTAATATTTATATTTTTACCCAAGTTCTATCTAACCTTAGGATTTATCCTCAGTAACAGGACAAGAGCACAACGATGTAAGCTCAAGGACACTCATCACAGTGTGTTATAAAATAGTGAAAAATTCTAAGTAAATCTAATGGAATCTGGTTGAGGAAATTATGGAATAGCACATGAGAAATGCTATGCAGTTACTACAAAATGATGTATTCTACCTTTGTTGACATAGAAAGATGTATGAAATGGTGTTAAGTGAAAAAGTTACTAACAACATCATGTGTATAGGACATATATATCTATAAAGATGAAATTGTGTGTCTATATCTGTAAATATTCACAGGTAGAGAAATGGGCCTAAATGTGTTCACCAAAATATAACAATGTTTTCCTCAGGGGATGGCATTGTGAAAGAACTATATTTTCAGATTTATAATTTTTTAGTATTTTCTGAAGTTTCTAAAATGAGTATGTTTTGTTTCACAATCAGAAAAACAAGTTGCAAAAAAAAGTAAAATAATAGTGGGCAATGTTTCACTTACTATATGTCATAAGAACTCAAGGAAATTTTTAAAACCCAAAGAAATTTGAAAAAAAATTAAAGAGAACGGTTCAGTAGAGATAACCATTATTCTTAATAACTCCACAGTTTTTTCTTAATTAGGACAGATTCAATTTCTGTAGGTATTATTCTGACTTTCAAACTCAGTGGGTTATAACCTATATCTCAGTTGAAACAAAATTTTGCCAGCCCAAAATAGATAAGGTTATAAACCCATCAAAACTGATGACTTTGAAAAGACTCCAGGAACCCAAAAAGTAAGACAAAGAAGGATGTATAAAATCTATTTCGTTTTTTGGAAAAAAGAAATATGATACAAAAATATCAGCTCCAAAAATACTAAGAAAGTTTCAACAGGGGAAAAACAGAGAGGAAAAAAATGGCATATGGATGTCAAAAATCCAGTGTCAAAGAGGTTTTGAAGACTGATCGTGTGTCACCAATTATATATATCCAAGATCAGTGTGACAGACTCATTTCTCATTTTTAATGCCCTAAAAATCTCTTCAGTGACTGATTGATAATAGAGCTATAATATGAGGGTTTTTTTAATTCATTTAACCATTGGTGAGCAAATTCTAACCTGGAAGGGAAAATGGGAGAGAGATATAATTATAACAAATCCATTATATCAACTCATATCTAGACATACTTTATATATAATTGTCTTTTCTTCTCACCTCCAGAAAAAGCACAAAGAAGAAACTACAATAATGGCCAAGTTGACAGAATCCATGAGTGAGTAACTTGAAATTTACTATTTATCTTTGGTTTTGAATGGAAAAAAACACAAAATAATGCAAAAACCACATCTCCTCGTGATCATCTGATTTACCCTTCCCTTTCACTCTTACAATGATCAAGGTCTATTTAATATATATTGCATTGTGTTGGTGTTATTTTATGCATTCTTTAAAACTCATCTTGCTTGGGGTCAAATTTTGTGCTGAAACTGTTACCTACAGTATAGATCTGAAGAATCAACATGGATTTTATTTGTAGCACAGCAGAGAGGATTGGGATCCAAAATAATTCCAACAAGAGTTTTAGGAGGTTTGCTCAAAGCCAGCTGAAGTTTTCTGTGATCTAAAGTGGAAAGAATGATGAACCATTGTTAAACCTTTCAGGTGTAATTCAAAAATTTCAAACAGAACTGTTAAACACTAGCGTGTTTAAGGTATAAGTAGCTTGTAATGATTTCAGTTTTGAATATATCAGTATTATAATGCTCTGAGCTCTTAAACTAAATAAACAAGATTCACAAAAGCACTTTTTAGGAGGAAAGGGAATTAATTTTCATAAATCCTCCAATAAATGAGAAATGCAATTTTCTGTGTTGAAGTTTAAATACTAAAAACTATGTGACTATGAAGTAAACAGACAAAACATATTTTTCTCTTTGAAAAATAAAAGTTGCTCCTAGTGACAGATTTAATATGCAAAGTTACAAGGGGCACTTACCAACTCTTCTCCATTATCATTAGGACTACGAACACCTTATTGACTTTGGTCTGTAAAATTAACCATTAACCTTGGACACATTTAATGGTGCACCTGCTTCTTCCTCAAATCATGAGATTAAATACAAGTGTTTTTCTGTACCATAGGCAATGAACCTTTATCCCCAAATATCTGCCCCTACCAAAATAAGATAATGTCAAAAAGTTATTTACATTGATTTCCTTTCATTCTTAACCCCAAATGGCTGCCTAATTTTACATGTCTTGAACACATGCTAATTTCACCAGATAAACAATAACTCAAAGGGACTAAGTAAAAAGCAGACCCCCTTCAGTATTTACAGTCCTCTCTTCTGCTTTTCTTTCTGTATCATCCCTTGTCCATCTCTCTGTTCCACCTTTCTTTTTCACTTCTAGTCTTGCAGACTGAAAAATGTTAAGAGTATTTTCCACTTAGTTTGAAGAACTCCAAATTGGTTTTCTTGTAAGTGAAAGTATCTTACAAGAGAATGAAGCAATGAGGGAACCAGAACCATCACAAAACAGATGAGCCTGTATTGTCAAAATGTGGAGTGGAACCATGGACAATACCAACGAATTTACAATCTACAGCACATGAGCAGTTTTAGTTCTAATATCTAAATCCAAAATCACCAACACAAATGAACCTACAGGTCCCCTATATAATAGAAAGATCAGTGGCTTAGAATCTAGCATCATTGTTGCCAGGCTCAGTGGTTCAGCCTGTAATCCCAGCATTTTGGGAGGCCAAGGCGAGTGGATTGCCTGAGCCTATGGGTTCGAGACTAGCCCAGGCAACTTGGCGAGACCTCGTCTCCACAATAAATCAAAAATTAGCCGGGTGCGATAACATGCGCCTGCAGTTCTGGTTACGTTGAAGGCTGAGGTGGAAGGATCACCGGACCCCAGCAGGTTGACACTGGGGTGGCTGTGAGAATATCATTACACCCCAGCCTGGGCAACAGAGTGACACTCCAACTCAAAAAAAGAATCTAGCATCATTGTCCATGAACTAAGTACTGAGTATGAATTAATTAAATCAGATGATGTTGCACATGAGTTGTGATACAGTTTTTACAACAAGGCTTCTATTAGAAATTGATATTCTAGTTCAGTGAATATTATCTTTAACTCATCTATCTATTGTAAAACATTAAAGGCACTGTACTGATCATTATTTCTGATAAAGTTATTTTAATTTTTCTATCTCCATTGGACTCTAGTTACATGTAAGTAAGAACTCTTTACCTGACTACTGACTTGTTGGTTTTAGGTTTCAGATTTGCCTGGACAATATTTCTAATGACTTTGGTCTATGAATCCAGTGTCTTAAGAAACTTTTATCAAAATTGAATTGCAAATCTTTGGGTAGATGAAAGAGTACAGCCATTCTTCTACTTTGCTTTATCTTTATGAAAAAGAGGCATAGATATCATTCAATGCATAAGGAAATTTAAAGCTTGAGAACAGACCTAGGAATGATACCCACTGTACCAGCTCACTGATCCCTACAAAGATTCAGAACAATATAAAATATGTAAGATGTGCTGTAATTCTTCCAGATGCTGTGAAATGCTAATCATGTGATCGAAATATTAAACATTTCATTAAAATTAAATTTATTAATAATGAAATGCACCACACATTTATTCTACATAGGAAATCTACAAGAAAATAAATACATAATTATGTAAGGAGAGTCTATCAGTAGGCTGAGCAAAGAATTAACATACAATTACTACACAATAAAATTGATGGGAACATCAAATCCATGACCGCCCTCTGGGAAAAAAAAAAAAACATAAACAGAAGCATGAATACCTAGGACACAATGCTCTGAATGGGCTTCCAGAGCCAATAAACATTTTGCTTGTTAAACTGCCAAGCAAAAGCCATCTGGTTACTAGAACATCTCTATGTTTAACTAGAACTGGGTAGCAATTCTTCTCCTATCACCCTAGATAGTCAAACGCTATCGATGGCTAAGCAAATACCATAATGGGGAAGGGGTGTCTTCTGCATCTTCTAGAGCAGGGATGAGGAGTATTTCATCATTAATCAGCCACCTCGAAAAAAACATCAGTCGTTTTTTTATTAAGGGCAAGCAAGAAACATACAAATTTCAACAGATTTTTAACATTTGATTAAAAGTAATTTTATTTCATAAATAAAAGAATATTTTATGTCAAATTATTGAAAGAAGGAGACACATGATAAAGACAAGGGGGGAAATAGAAGAAGGAATAAAAGCAAATGTGGAGGAAGAGATTCTGAAACAGCAAAAACGCACTTTAAGAAAAATATATAGAAAAAATATATACAGTGTATGAGTAGAGCCCCAGAGAATGAGATGTTAAGAAGAAAAGAAACCAGGTCACAAGAAGCAAAGACATGACACATAGGCAAAAGGGAGAGCAGGTAAGGAGAGCTTTTCACAGAGCAGTTCCATGGGATCTAAAAATTAGCAAACTACACATGGCATTAACTGGCTATGAACTTGCAACCTTCCAATGGCTTTTTTTTACCACTACCCTTTGAAATTTTAATTTCTGCTTGCATCTTCAAAATGAATATTTTCATACTTAAACAACCAGAAACCCTATTCCAGAGGGAACAGTCAAAATCTCACACTGGAGGATGTTAATCTGAGCTTGCCCTCTGGTCACCAACACTTTGCCACCCACCAAAATCAACCTGAAAGTCTGGCCCCAGTGGAGGCTCCAACCCTGCCTATAAAAAGGCAAACAATGGCCCAAACCATATCATCATCAGAGGTGATACTGGGGCTGGTAGGCTCTGTCCCGGGCACTTACATCTAATTCAGAAGGTGACAAATTTGAGGTGTCCAGAAGCATGCAAATAATTTGGCGACTCTGGAATCATGGCCTGTATGAAGTATCTTTGCAGGCTGTTCTTACAGAAATTTCCATAGGTAATTTGCTTAGTAGTCATTGCCTGCAGATGCATCACTGCCCTCTAACCTTGGAGTTCCTGGGAGTAGGTCAGATTCAGGAAGTCTCGCCTCAGCATCTCAAAGTGCTGGAATGACAGGCATAAGCCACTGTGCCCAGCCAACAATTGAAAAAATTGATTATGATCTAGATATCTGGACTTGTGCATGGTGATGGAGTTGCAAGGGTGAAACTGGTAGGGGCTTGGTGCCAATGCCTTCTCCAGGCTGCAGGACTCCTTCCCAAGGTCCCTCACCCAGAGTTGTTGGTGATCTGGAGTCACACTTCTGTCTCCTCCTCCACATCAGTCACATGTCTGCAGTGCACCACTGCATCAGTGGGTGGGTACTACCCGGGCTGTGTGTGGCTCTCTTTCTGCAGCTTGGCAGAAGGAGCTGGTTTTCTGTGACTTCCTGTCTCCATCTCGTCAGCCTTTCTTGGGCATGCACACCTCAAGTTTTTCCTTCACCAGTCAGAGCATCCTTAGTGGTCATCCTCACAAGTCATTCTACCCAGGCCATCCTCTCCTGCATGGTCCACCTTGATGTCACAACCATAACACATCTGCATGGGAAAGAAAAGAGGTACTCACCATCATTTTTGAAGAAGCAACAAAGCAACAGTTTTATTCTGAGTTGCTCCAGGGCCTGAACCCTTATCCAACCAGGGAGAGACAAGTAGGCCATGTTTCCTTTCTCTGCCCAGAGCCAAGGACCTGCTCTGTCAGGCATTCACAGGTCTTGGCTGTCTGCTTTGATACAGAGGGAATTCCTCCTATGATTAAAGAAATGGCTCAAATTTAGCACAGATTTGAAATCTTCTTGTGTCAAGTGAAATGAAGACAGAGAACCAATTACAATCACCACACATTAAATTAGCTCAATTAAAGCAGAGTGGTTTTTAATCATTTGTTCCCTCCTCTATAACTCTGGCATTGTGTTAAGATGTAGAAAGAGAAAAAGATGGCACTCCTGCCTGCACTGTAAGCAGCATTTGGAGAAAATGATGCAGGGGAGTAACAACTATGGCATGGGGCACATACTTGTGCCAAAGCAGCCTACAAGTCGCTGCAGCTTGCAAGTGCATGCCTGCAAGGCTCCCCTTCTATAGACCCCAATGTAATCCTGCATCAAAAAGGCAAGAGATGAGCAGTTTCCATCAAGCAGCCAAAGGGACTATGAGTGCCAAGACCCAGGACAGAGGCCACAGCTTGGGGGAGGACAAGGGTGGGGAAAAAACAAAGCATTGGCAGCAAATAACTGGGCTAATAGGAAGGATCAGATTATAAAGGACTCACGTGCAGCTT